CTACAATTAGCTGTATTTTTCAATGTGAGTATTTATGTCATGAGTGATCTGTTGAAAGGAAAAATGTGGGAAAAACCGAGGCACTCAGGAAAGGAGGAGAGACACTCTGGGAAAGAGTTTGCATCTTCACAAGCAGCAGGCCTTTATTTGGGAAGAAAGACCTGAGAGGGGCCCTCGCCGTCAGAGAAATGCTCTGAGAGGGACGAGAGCACGTTTTTCTTACAGGCTAGGTTTTTTAAGCATTGCATGGTGGGAAAGAGGGAGGATGGGAAGGTGAGTGACAGGTAGCATGGCTTGAAGGGAGGATAGATAAAGGTGCTGGACATCGGCTGGGAAGACCATCAGGGCTGGCAGTTTTGCGTGTTGTTTTTCTTTCGCACTTTTATCTGGGATAGTCAATTTTCATTGTTTCAGTGCTCCTCGGCGTTCCAACACTCTAATATCTGTCATGATGTGTGCATTCCCAGATGCCGAGAGTCCTGAAGAACCAGCTGCTACACGTGGTCCCAACTGATGTGGATTGGTTGGGCTGTGATGAATGGTTTTCTTCCAACCCTCTCTTTCACAGGCAAAGAGGACCTACTGAGTTATATATGGGGAAATGTCCCTTGTCCACTTTCACCTGCCATCATGCTGCTATGGCCATTCTCATCTCAGCCCTACTGTAAGCTCACAGGGCTTCCAGCCTATCAAAGAAACAGTGAGACCCCAGATTTCTTTCTTTCTTTCTTTCTTTTTTTTTTTTTTTTTTTTGCTGTGATCTTACCTGGCAGGCTCATAACACTAGGGAAATACCAATTTGTGTCATGAACAATGGTTTTATGGAAGCAATTAGCTCTTTAGACACCCAAGTAGGAACATAAGGCTCTTCTTAGGTGACTACCTGATCCAGACCAAGCTATCCACTTCTCAGTTTCCTGATCCACAGGTAGGGTTGGGGGCTGGGCTCTGAAAGATGGATTTCCACACTGTGTCAGCATAGATGACCCCTCTGTCAAGAGCACCAGGGTGCTGCAGGAAGCCTGGCTCTGTTGGCGTTTTACCACTGTCCTAGGAAATTTCCTACCTTGGTTCTTTATCCCAGCTGTGCAAAAAGGAATCATGATAATCATTCCTAGCTGTTTCTCTAGCCAGTGTTAATGAAGTAAAAGATACATTTAGGCTTTTTTAGGAGAAAGACAGTAAATCACAGGCTGGAAGTGTTACTAAGAAGAGATTTCTCATTTCCTAGCTACTCACTGAATGTCCAGTATTCTCTCCAGAAACGTGTGCTGTGTGTTTGCACTGGAAGCCCTGATGCAGTGGACATTCATCTTCCCCCAGAACACAAGGATGGACTGAACTGAGAGGCACCTAAGACTCGCTCAATAGCTGGCTTTGCAGTTCGTGCTTGTTATTTCTATTTGATACTGATGTATGACACCAGTGCCCAGGTCTGATAAGGTGTGTCATGCACCCAAGTCTGCATTTGTGAGTCCAGTACAGACATGGTGAGACCAAGTGAAGAAACAGAAAAGGTTTTGTTTGTTTGTTTGTTTGTTTGTCAAGGTATACATAAACCACTGACACCAAAATCTATTTTTAAAAAAGAAAAGTAAGGTACTCGGAATGGCTACTGCCTCCAAGTACACACACACCTTCCAGGTGAAACCAGATGAAAGTAAACAGACTGGTGAGAGGGGAGTAGAGACACACCACCTCCTTTGTGGAGCCCTGAGAGGTTCTTCTGGGAAGGCTGGGGCAGGACAGCAGGTGGCTCCTGCTGGTGGTGAGGTCCAGAAGGCGAGGGGGGGCACGATCTGGAAATGTGCCCCAATTGTGAGGACACAGGCAAACTTTCGTAGGGCCTTTATCTGTTTTCACTCGGGTCCCCACCACCTCAGGGGTCCCAGTGGCTGGGACTGCAGTGCAACACAGGGCACTAGCAGCCTTATTCTCTACTCATGCCAGGGGTGGAGGGGACTTGGTATGTCTGGAGACCCTGGTAGACATCCCCCAACAAGAACTTGTTTTGTTACCTCAGTTGTACACGAACATGGAGGCTGTATGACATAAGGAAGCACCTTGGCTTTGAGAGCCCAAGACAATGCCCAAATGCCTCCCTGGCACCTTCTTGGATAAGTGTGGACCTAGGTCATCTGCTGAAACTCTGCTGCTCTCACTGTGCTTGCTGTTGTGAGGATTAATATAAAATCACAGTAGGTGATCAGTACATTCAGTGCCCCTCAGGCTCCTTCAGGGCAGGATTATAGGGCAGTCTGAACCACCATCTGGTTTCCGCCCAGATCTGGGATGTGCTGAGCACGTGAGCATTTTCCAGTAGTTACCCAACGAGTGACTCATGAACTGGGCATCTTTTTTTTTTTTTTTTATAGATAATTCCTATAGCTAAGCATTTGTTTAAAAGCAAACAAAAAATGAGAGACACTGTGCAAAATGAAAGTGCCAAGGACAGTCATCAATGTCACTGAACAAAGTCAGACTGGACTAAGGCTGAGTTGAATTATGCCAGGAGTATGTTCTCTGGGCCCAAGGGCAGGACACTGGATGGCAGATCAGTGTCCTCATCAGAGACTGATGAATTTTCTAGATAGGAATGGGGGCAGGACATCCCAGACTGGACTGTCCTATCAGCTGGGGCCATGGCTCTGTCAAGCCCCTGGGACCCAATGTCACCACAACAATTAGTGCTTGAACAGGCAAATGGAAATTTTATGGACCCTGGAGGGACTTAGGGGCAGCATTTGATCATGCCTGACTTTATCTTGCAACTTTTGGCCTCTTTCTTAGGGAAAAAACAAAATGTCTCCCCAGCTTCCCCATGTTCTTCCTTCTCCCCAGCTCCTGGGAAAATGCTATGGGAAGGTGAGGGGCAGCAAGGGGAGTACCCCAGGATTTTAGGGATACTCCCCTTCCTTACACAAAGTAATACTATGCAGCCACAATTGACAACATAGATCTCTATATACTTCCCAGGAAGTCCTCCTGTGATCTATACTTAATGAAAAGAGCTAGTTTGATTAGTGTGACCTTATTTTTAAAATTAATAATCACTTATATCTTTCTGTCCATTGGTGGTACACATCTGTAGAAAAGTCCAGAAGGAAATCCTTCAAACTGTGACCAGTGGTTACTTACAGGGATATAGAAGATGGAGGATGGTTTTGTAACATTTGATTGTTTCAAAATGCCGCTTTCTTGCATTGTAATTTTTAGTAAAATTTTGCATGAGGATCTCCTCTTCGAATTTCCCTGATGACAGCCTCTGAACATTGCATAAGAACCTGGGGATAATTCACAGGCAGCTCAACTTTTAACGAGCATCTATTCTGGCACAAGCTGACAGACGAGCTGACAGACTTAACCAGAGGCAACAGGGCCAGGGCTGGAATAGCTGCTGTGATGTGCAGCACAGGCATTGGTGAAGGGTCTGCTACATGCACGCATATTACAACTCTTCTCTCATTAAATCCTCAGGGTTGACTCATTCAACTAGCAAATATGCGAGCACTTGTGGTGTGCCTGAAATTGTGAGCCAAATGAATCCACCCAAGTTGGAGAGGAATCAGCCTGGTTCAGACTACAGGGCATGAATGCCATAGCTTTACCCCAAAGACCCTGGGATAATAATTTTGTTTTGTATCCATGGAGGGAGTTATAGACTTGCTTTAGAAACCTAAAGGAAAGAAAGAGTGGTCTTGAGTCCCTGGGTTTGGATCCCCGCCCTGCCTCTCACAGCTCTAAAAATTTAGGCTAGACACTTGACTTCTCTGGCTCTTGGTTTCTCCATGGGAATTATTGTAAGAATTCAGCGTCCTAAAGGTTCACAGGGGTTTGGGGATATAATGACATAAGTAAGTGTCCGTTTTTCTCTGGTTTCCCTGGTGTCCCTGTCAAGAATAGAGTGGGATGAGATGGTAAGTAGGAGGCAATTGCAGCTGAGTAGAGATGAGTTCCTGAACTAGGCTGTGGGAATGGAAAGAATGAATACCGAAGTGACAAGGGAAGGTGGAGTGAACAGGAACAGAGGACTAACTAGCTAAAGGGGAGAAGGAGGAAAGTGCTCAATATGACAAGGTGGCCAAGAGGATGAGACAGCAAGCAGAGATAACTTTCAGGGCATGGAAAACCCACATATAGATGTGGTCATGGTTTGATTGTGAAATGTTCCCCACAGGCTTATGTGCTAAAGGTTTGGTCCCCAGCTGGAGGAAGTGGGTCACTGGATGTGGTGGTGGGGGTGTACACTGAAAACACACACCTTGTCTCTGGCCCCTTCCTGTCATGCTTTCTGCCATGGGGTGAGCTGCTTTGCTCCACCACTGCTCCCTGCCATGATGTTCTGCCTGCTGCAGCCAAGAAACTACAGAGCCAGCAGACCACGAGTGAAATCTCTGAAACCATGATCCAAATAAATCTTTCCCCCTTTTAAATTGCTTCTGTCAGAGCGATGACTCAGTGATGACAATCTAGCATAGAAAACTGGTACGGAAAAGTGGGTTTGTGGCTGTGACTTTACCTGACCTGGAAAGGTTTGGAGATGCAGGCTGCAGGGATGCCATAAGTGGTGGGAGCTCAAGAGACCGGAATGCCAGCAGTGATATGGACAGAAAAGACTGTCCTCGAGGTTTCAGAATTGTATTAGAGAGCATTTGCACACATCATGGCAAAGAAGTTGTGAATGTTCTGCCCATGCCCTGAGATTTTGTGGGAGGCTGAGTTGGGGACTAATTAATCTGATGAAGCAAACTTCAAGGCAGCCCAGCATCCAGGCTGTGGCCTGCTGATTGCTGGCTAACTTTAGCCAAGTACAGTGAGAATCAGGAAGAGAAAGCAGAGCAGAGACTTGAAAAACTTGCAGTTTTCCCAAAAAGAAGTGCATGTAAAGTTGGGGCCAAAGAAAGTATGACTGTCAAGAAATTAGAGCCACTAAGGAGCCAGGTGTTGGCCAGGCATGGTGGCACATCCCTATATTCTCAGCTACTCTAGAGCAGACAGGAGAATTGCAGTTTGAGACCAACCTAGGCAAAAGTTTGTGAGATTCTATCTCAAAAATCTAGCTGGACATGGTGCTACATATCTGTGGTCCTGAGAGGAGGGGCTGGGAAGCTGTAAACCTAGGCCTTCATGCTAAGGGAGACATAATCACAGACATGGAGAAAAGGATTCCCCACAGAGGATTTCTGTGAGCAGAGGCAGGACAGACAAGAAGCCAAACAGACAGAAGCTTGTGCATACCCACTCATCTTTCACATACAAGTGCATGGGCTCTGCATCTGGTAGACGTGGGTTCAAATGCCATCTTTTGCACTTGTTTGTGCCTTAGGGTCTTGGTTTTTGAAACAGGATGGTGACTAGTCTGTTGTGAGGATTGAAGGAGACCAAGCGTGCGAATCACATTGTGTTGATGGGGAACTGAGCTCACATTTAGAATGCTCTTCCAAGCTGAGGACCAAGGGGAGAGAGAGGAGAGGCTTCTACTGAAAAGGCATGACCAGAGAATAAACAGAGGGCATTTCTTCCTCCTTAACCCAGTGATCCCAGGGTCACTGTCCCCATGAGAGGGGCCTTAGCTTGAGGACTCTCGTGATGTTTATTTTGTTCTGCTTTATTCACTGGATTCCAGTTTATCATGTGATTCCTTGCTATCAAAGCCCTCCTGATTTTCCCATGACCCAGAGATTCTAGCAAAGTAGCTACCATCTTGCATGTCCATTCTGGGGCAGAGAGGCATGTCTGCCTCCAGGCAGTTCCCAGGCAGTGTGGCCGAGTCCCTGAAGCAGAGGTGTCTCTGGCAATCAGGGACCCGTGAGTATGCTCACGTGGGATCAGAGAGGACAGTGCCCCCTGGCCCAATCTCCCACACTTCCTTTCTCCTTGTTTGTCTGGAGGGGCAGAGAGCGTGGGCTGCCAACTCTAGCAGCAGTGTGACTCATTTCCTCCCCAGAACCCGGAGCGCCTGCCAGTGTGGGCTGAGGCCCTGGGGAGGCAAACACGGACCGGTGAAATAAAGTACAGTGAAATGAAACATTTTTGGATCACGAGTGTCTGTGTTCCTTGGGGAAGAAAAGAACAAGTGAGCGGGGGAGACCAGCCATTTTGCCATTTTATCCATTTATTATATACAATATTAAGGCACAAGTTTAAGCAGCACAGAATAGGAAAATCTTTGGCTGACCAACAGTGTCTGTATTTGCTGTGGGGGACACGCCAGTACTCTTGGGCTCTCCCTCCCCCTTACTTTGTACACAGACCCATGTGGCTGTACAGCTCTGTAGTTACCCCCAATACAGACCAGCAACATGACATGAAGATGCCAAAGGCCACCCAGATAACAGTCTGCTGGGAAGAACGGCACACCCCCCAGCACAGTGACATACACACAGCAGGCAATGAGTTGCCAGAGTTTGGCTGAAGTCAGGTGCCTGCCTGGCCTTGTTTCACTGAATGTACAGATTCCTCAAGTCCCTCGTTAAGGAGGAGGTTCCACTGTCCATCCTCGAAAGGCAAAACACCTTGATTCAAACAAACCCACTGTGGATAAATCTGCTTATATTCTATTTTGTAATAAATACTCACAGGTGTCTATCTGAGAAAGAATCCTAGGCAAAATCACATGTAACACAACACTTGGCATCAAAACATCAGAGCTGATATGAGAAAATGCTGTATGTACTGCCAGATATAGGGGACAGTATGTTAATTCTTGAAGAAGCAAAGTTTCATGACAAGGATGCATCTCAGTCACAGCATACAAGACAATAACATGCACTTAAGTGTAACTTGGCTTTCCAGAACACCACTGGGTGCTCACACTAATGCATACGTACTGCAGTGTGTCTGCAGTATGTGCAGAGATGTGAACACAGGAGGTGTGGAGGGAGCCGACTTTTAAAACGCATCCTCTTGAGTGTACACACTAATGAGTGCTGTTCTCCTCTAATGGTCACTTCTAAAGGTTCTGAGTCTAAGGCCTCATTCCAAGGTATTTCTTAGGGATATTTTTTTAAGAAATAAAAATGATGTGATTTATCTCAATTACCATCTGTACTCACTCACCCATGCTGTGAACAATTTGGGGCTGTTTCTAAAGCTCAAATCCATCCTCAAAGGATGAAGAGTTTTCATCCTCTAAGGGGAAATCAAAGGAACCTGCCAGACCCTGAAGGCCACTCTCTAGAGGAACTCTGAGATGTTTTTACTGCTTGGGTTAGCACTCAGTCACCCCGAAGACAGGCCTCCCACCCACATTAAGGAAGGTGGGTGAGATGAAAACCTGGGTGTTCTGGATTAAGAAAAGAAATTCTGCTTACAACCTGATAGTCATACCTCATATGCATCCACTTACACATACACACCTTAATATATCATTAAATTACTAAGAAAAGAGTATACTACTTAAAAGGAAGAGGAAAGGCTGCTCATTAATTGCAGACAAAATTCATTTACTGAAGGGCTGACCAGCCTCTGATGACTTCTCAATTACTCTGCCCATCTTCCATGGAGCCATACATCAAAGGCAAATGCATTAAACAATCATCACATCAAACAGACATTTAAAACACACTGGTTAATTAGAAGAAAAGAAAGTCAACATCTCTAAAGCATCTCATATATCATGGCTGCCTCAGGTTTTGGGGTGTGACCTGGCTACTTTCTGGCTTCTAAAGCCTTCACCCTTTAAGAACACTGATGAGAGCTCACTGAACAACAGACACAAGACTCTTTTGCTTAGAAGGAGTGAAGAGCATTTAGAGAACACAGAGAAACTCACTCTGCTTGCTCTGGTGCAGGCATGGAGCAAGACTTGTGTTTTAGAAAACACATCAGTTTGCTTGGCCCAGCTCTCTGCAGTCTACATGTGAACTGGGACCTCCAAATCTTTTAATCCCCACCTCTTCTTCACTTCCTCAAGAAGCCCAGCTCCACCTGACTGTTCACACACATCTCTGGGACTTAGAAGGCTGCCAGTGAGAGGAGAGGTTTTCAGGCCATTAGCACTTGGCTCAAAGGTGCTTCAGCCATGGCATCACATGGCATCGTGAGGTTACAGGTAGCTGAGGCCAAGCCAGGTGAGAACAAATAGGAGTGATGCCTCACTTCTCTGTAGGGGACATGCCTAGAGCCTCTTTCTAGAGCAACAGAGCCACTGGAGTCTCTGTTCTGAGTCAAAACTTTCGGAGCGACTATCTTGATATCCACTCCTTCCAGAGGTAAGCCTCGGAGGACTGAAGCCAGGGCTGCTCCACCATTTCCTGCCCTCCCAAAGCTGGGAGAACGGAGGCAGCCCTGTTATGCAGACACTACGAGAGCATGCTGAACTCCATCCACACTGTCACTGGCCACCAGCCTCTGATGCAGAGGAACACAGAGAAGAAAAACGCTAGGCAAGTGTTCAGTTCATGCTCTGGAATTTTTGGAAAAGAATGTGTTTTTCTTGGCAGCTTAGCTCTATGGACCTGCAGACAGTAGTAGGTACTGCACAAAGAACCACTACTTAGTGAAGCTAGAGTGTCAAGACACCTGGTCCCAACAACTTTTCACACTCCATGCAACACCTGGCAGCATGTAGACACTGAAATTACCCAACAGCCAACTTAAGGTTCACACAGAATTACTCTGGCATACCTTTACTTAGAGCCAAAGCTGCTTTCCTTCCCCTGAGACAGGACCCTCAAGCTCTATGATCAGATGCCCCTTGGGACCAGTTCTGTGGACAACTTGGAAATAGATTTTAAATATAGTTTGTAGCTATATTCACAACAGAACACAGATTTCCATCAATGCTTCGTGTTGATGGGAAATTCTAGGATTTCTGGATTTAGTGCTAGTTTTTAGGCTCTCAGAGAGAGCCTAAGAGAAAGAGAACCTCCTCTTTCTAAGCCAGCACCTCCTAGATGTGTAAGGGAAGCCGGTTTCTGCGGAGTTGTACGTGAAACATCATAGCAAAGGTACAAGAGGCCTACCACTCGCTCACTTCTGGCTTATTTCCTATGAGATTTCTGTCCCACCTCTGAAACCTGGAGAAACCTGCCCATGCTATCTATCTACTGGCCTGACAGGTTACAAAGCAAATTCGCGGTAGAGAAAACAGTGGGAAGGAAAGTCTGTGTTCATCAGCACCAACCAGAGTGCACAGTGAGGGGAGAGCAGTAAATATACTCATTAGGCCCAAACAGAAGGAAACAGGACAGGGGTGCCAGGTGAGAGTCTGGATGCCACCAAGGAAACTATGTAAAATGCTACCTGCCGTCTTACTCCAACAGAGCAATGGGGTGGAAATGTCAACTCCTTACAAGAGCACTCATGTGAGAGAGAAAAACAGCCACTGCCGTGATCTCAATGCAAGACACCACAGTGACCCACGGGACCCTCTGCCTCATCCAAGCACAGGCAGAGGAAGCAGCCCAGAAGCCAACATGTACTTTGTCCTACTGGCCACTGTTAAGACACAGCAGGACTGATGACAGTTCAGATGCTGTTCTTTTAAGTACCATACTGAAGGAATTCTGCCATGTTGTATTAAACAGACAAAAAAGGAAGGAACAATAAAGAAGTAAAACTAAAGAAAGCAGAGTAGAGACAGAGGTAAACTCAGAGAAGATAGGATGCTCCCATCCTGTTTAGAAAACACCCCTGAATGCAGAAAAGCTAAGAAGCTCCATGACTGCTTGAAAACTCAAACCAAACAGGTAAGTAAGGAAAGACCACGGGTGGAATTTCCATCACCCCGGGACATTTCTTCTCAGGACCACACCCACACCACTTAGAAGACACATGAGATAGCACAGTAACACTGCATTGTGCCAAGATGGGCTCTGAGAGCAAGGAGAGTGGGTATTCCAAGGAAGGTCCATGGTCAGGTTTATCTGTTTATAATCAGAGAATAGGGGTCACAGAGCCTCCCCAAGACATATAATTTCTGTATAATGAAAAATTCCATTTCTTACTTCTTTTGAACTTTGTTTCCAAACCTACATGCATCTTCTCTTCCACTCTAGGTAATAAAAATCCGTAACTTTCCCTTCTCTCTGCAATCATGTAGGTGTCCTGTGTTTGTAACATTTATAAAAGGTGTTCTTATTAATCAGGAATCTTTGTCAGTTCGCATCATTCCTGGTTTCCCATCTGCACCTTCTTGATCTTTCTTCTCCCTCTCTGCCACTGTTCTTGTTTGTCATATTCTGGTACGAAATTCAACAGGGATGACAGAGTTAAATGAGAACCTCCATCATCTCTCCATCGGGGAACTCCGGCTTATGCAGCAAGCTGCTGACGCGGCCTCTGTGGTCTGGTGACTTCCCATGGCCAGGAGAGTTCTCTGTGAAATGGAGAGGAAATATCAGCAGCGCCTTCCTCGAGAGGTGCCTGGGCTTTAGGAGCACTTTCTACAATGGACCCATTTCAAATGCCATCGCTCACTCACCATGGTGTGCATATGTAGGAAAGGCTATCAGAAATCTGTCTCACAGTGGGAAAAGCTGAATGGCTGGGCCAGGATTTGGAAGCGAATGAAAACAACCAGGATGGCAATGAAAGCAGTAGATGGGTGAAGTTGCGACTTTAAGCGCGAGTCCCTCACATCACTCCCCCTGTACTCAAAACTATCCAGGGCTGGCCATGAGTCACATACCTTTCACATGCTTCTTGCCTTACTTGGAAAAGTGCATCCCAAGCACTGCATCTCCAGAAAATGACAACACTGTATTTACTTGTCCACTTTGGAGAATAATAAGTTTTTTTGTTTTTGTTTTTGGTGGGACTGGGGTTTGAACTCAGGGCTTCATGCTTACAGAGCAGGCGCTCTACCACTTGAGCCACACCTCCAGTTCAATTTTGGAGAATAAAATTAAAATGCCCCCTTTGAAGAAACTTAACATGCCACAAATAGCTCCAACTCTTCAAAAAAACTCTTGGAAAGGGCTATCCCCGTATCTATGGTAATCCATGCTAACCCCTCCCAAGCCATCTTGTTTTGAGTGTCTGAGACAGCCCAGCTTTATGATGCAGTTAGACCAGTCTGAGTGGAGTCTGCTTCTCTTTCAATGAGGCTGTCTAACACTGAGGCCCAAATCCTTGATAAGTCAGTGCCTTAAAGGCAACATCCATGAACCCGAGGCCTTTTGGGAATTTGGTGCTTAACCCTAGTACCCTAACAGCTCCAGGAAGTGTGAAATAGGCACATATTACCAGCTGGATGCAAGCTGTGTGCTCCTTTTGCAGTCTATACACATTTTATTCCCACAAGAACAAAGAGCAGATTTAGCACTTGCGATGACTGGAATGGCAAAGTGGAAGCTCCCTCCACCTCAGCAAAAGACGCCTTGCCTGGGCCACACAGCTCCTAGGACTTCCAGAGTGTGGTATAGGTGGGGACCACATACCCAGTTTCTCTGCAATCCCTTTGGCCGCTGGGTGTTTCAGGACAGGGCTGTTGGAAGGGGTGGTACTCAGCCTGCTGCGGTTGGGGAGGGAGGCCATGTTGGGCCAGAAGAGTTCAGTGCTCTTGTCAGTCTGGGTGCTGCTGTCCTTGCTGCCTGTCTTAGCATGGGTGCTGCTGGCTGATGAGGCAGAGGCCGGAGGGGACAGGGCAGAGGCAGGGGGGGTCGGCAGCTGGGGTGCAGAGGCATGGACATGGTGCTCCTTCCCCAGCAGCAACCCTGAGGGCAGAAGAACAGTTTTCTCAATGACATTCTGTTTTTCTTCTCTTTTCTTTTTAACTGATCTTAGAGATCATTTCCTTTTGGCTCAAGACTGCTTCATTCATTCAGTGATTAAGTACTTAATAAGCACTTATTCTGTGCCTGATAAAATGTTAAACATTGAGAAAATAAAAATATGAAGGGCTTACTACCCACCCTAAAACATTACCACACAGTAAGTTGTAGGGTAAAATTATTCATAGACGGTATGGAAGAACAGAAAATGAAGCCGGCTAAAATTTAGGGAAAATATTAGAAAAAATTAGAAAAATATTACATCTCAGATTGACCATGCTCTGGCTCAGGGACTGCCTTCACTCAGCTGGGAGCCACCCATGCCCCTCCCCACTCATTCATTACTGGATGGGAATCACCTGGTTCTGCCCTTCCCATGGGTTAGTGAAGATTTTAAAGGTACCTGAAAAAGAGAAGCTCACTTTCTCAGCCTCCAGATTCCACCTGGGCCTCACCATGCAAGCTTTGTATTTCCCTTCTCTAACTTTTTATAAATTCCATTTATACCCACATATGGGACACAAAGAATTTCGAAGTCTTCTGATCACAGACTGGCATGGCCCACAAAAAGAGGTGCCTAGCAGCCAGAGAGAGAGAAGTGAGAGAACTGCAGATCCAGTTCAAAAACAAACATGCTTCCTGTTTGGGACAACCCCTGAGTTGTACATATTATTCTCAAAAGAGTTCTATGTGGTGGAGAGCCAGTCAGACTCCAGGCAAGAGCCACTTGGCCCACTCCTTCCCCTGCCAACAAGAGTATAGAGGCTGGGGTAGGAAAGAGGGACACTGGCTACAGAAAGGAGGCAAGGCACAGTGTGCCTCCTTTCCTCAAAGCTGGACAAGAGGGTAGCTTCTTTTATTCTTAAACACAGCACACATTCAGAAAAGTGCCAGCACCCCAGACTCTAGGCTATAGGAAAGTGTAAGCACAACCAAGTATTTGTTTACTTATCTTGTTAACGAACCAGCAATTCAGGAAGTACCCTTGCCAAGACTATTTCAGGTGCCCATGCTTTCAAAATGCCTGCCTATCAATTGCTTGGCTGTGTGGTTAAAATGAAGATTCAGTTCAGCATTTGGGGACTGAGATTCTGCCTTTTCATCAAGCTCCCAGGTGACACCAGTGCTGCTGGTCTGCAGACTATGCTTTGAGCAGCAAAGGTCTTTGCCTTGGTGTTTCACCCATCATTTCACAGCTTTCCTGTGAGGTAGGGTTAGCCTCTAACATCTCCCAGAAATGCGATGTGAACACAGCTGGGTCTGATTTGGAGCACACCCTGCATTCTGTTTACCTCATCACCCTGCCTGTGGAAACCTTTGCTCTTGTGTGGGGCTGATGAGCTGAACACATCATGGGTCAGCCATCTCTCCTGGGAGCTGCTGAGCAGTCACAGAGGCGATCCTATCACCTCCCTTCCCCTCAGAGCCCATCCGACAGGAGATGACAGAAACATGAGACAGTGTGCAGTGGACTGTGCATGTATGCCTCTGTGTGAACCTGCAGGGTCCCTCTGTTTTTGTGACATGTGGACACAAGTCACAATAATGAGGAAGAACACTGGGGCAGACAACATAGCAACTCTTCCTTCCGGCCAAGGTCCTCAAGCTCCAGATCCCGGCCACCAAGCTGCCTGTCACAAATGGGTTTCTTCTGGGGAGATTTCCACTAGAGCCAAGCAGACTTCAAATGCCTTAATCGGGCCATCTGTACCGGCTCACTAGCTGGGCAGGGAGCTAAGTGTCCTTGGGATGGTCTTTGATGATCCCAGCTGCTGTCCTCTTTGAAGTACGTTTCCTTTGAGGGCCTGGGCTGCTGGGGCCACCAGAGGAGGGACTTCAAACAGAGATTCTGGCTGGGATCCTTTGATCCCCCTAATTCCGTGGGTTCATATGGAAACTCTTATCCCCTTTGGCGCAAAGCAGCAAGGCTCCTTTGGAGTCCTGTGATGGGGAAAACTGGCTCTGGGCTCAACAGAGAAACAAAAAACACACGCTGACCCAGGGACATGCATCAAAGAAGGGCCAGACCCCTGGAAGTGCCAGCGCTCAGGGGAAGGGAACAGAGGACCTGTGTGGGAACTCTGGCTGCTTCGTCTCCAAGCTTAGCGGCTCAGCCAGCCAACAAGCCCCACCCTTGCTCCAGGAAATCATTCCTGGCTAAAGCCACTCTGGCAGGAGTCTCAAAAGTCTGCCTATACAGCAACAATACAACAAAACCCACCACCCCCCATACTGGAGAGCAGTTCTGCCAACACACTGCCCCAGTCCTTCGCTGCGTCTTCTCACGGACTCTGGGCAAAGCAGGGCAGACTCTCTCCTCCTTCCTGAGACATGGAAGCGGAGGCGAGGCAGTCAGGGGGCTGCAAAGTTCACAGGCCTGATGCCTCTGGGCTTTTTCCATCAGGACATGTGTTGTACCTATCACCTAAATTTTCAACAATAAGGAAATGAATCAACCCTAGGCTAACAGGTACTCTCCTGGCGTAGTGTAGCATTTTCACAGTGCTTCCCCATTTAATTTCCACAGCCCGGGTACGGCTGATTGTCCTCCTCCCTTTACAGATGAGTAAACTGAGATGAAGATATTCACCGTCTCCCACGTTCCACACCCTAGGACCAGCAGAGAGGTTCCCGATCCTGTCTGAAGGAGGAGTGGGGCTCACCTATGCTCCCCTTCCATGTCTTCTCTTCCTTCTTTTCTTCAGCCAGTTGGTTGTTGGTGAGTGAGGTCTGGCGGGAGTGTGTCCCAGTGGCCGCAGCAATGGATGGGACAGAGCGGGCAGGCCGTAGGCTGGCGGGGTCCATCTTGCCGGCATCTTTACGGGATCGCTGCTGAAGGACCTTTATCATGGCATCCTTCTCTATGATTTTGGCATGGAGATTTTTAATACTGTAGAACAAAACAAAACATAAAATACTGCTTGGTTAGGAAAGCTTGAAACACATCTCTCGGGCTGCCCAGAGACTCTAATTGTAATCCAGGGATGGAAGGTCAATTGTGGAGTCCTCAAGCATCTGCGACCTCCAAGTTGTATAAGGCAGGGTATGGTAGTAGACCAAGGATGAACCTGAGAGACTCTGGGACTTATGGGAGGTACCGTGAGAATGACTGTGGCCACCTGCTAGGGACTCCATAGACCAGGGTGCTCAGGGACACTTAGTCTACAGGGAGTAACATGGGGCTCAGTAACTGAGACCCCCAAACAGGGTGACCTTCCAACGCAGGTCAATTCCTCCATTTCTTAAGGGGAAAAAGAAAAGAGATGGGAAGGTTCTGTGGAGGAAGACGACTTTTCCCTGCAGATGGCCGAACACAAGACCCAGCAAATCCATGAGTTCTTTTCACAACTCTGACGGTAACTTGCTGTGTCCGCCCAAGGCTCTAGCCCAGAGCCCTACCTTTTCTCATTGGTACCTTGAGAAGCTAGGATGCCCAGGGTTCCACAGGCCTCAGACAGTCAAGCTGGGCAGGATAGTTTTTAATATCAAAGACTCTGGTGGGAGTCGTGAGTAGCCCACCAGAAGACTGCACTAGCTAGATAAGCTCTTTATCTTTGGCTGGAATAACAAACTGGCTCAAAACCCCTGAACCTCTGGGATATGCTTTCTCCTTTCCAGCTCCTGATATCTGGAAGGGTAAAGAGACATATACCCAGAGCTAATGTGGGCATCTCAATTCTCCTATTACAAGATAGCCTCCATCCTAACACCGGCCTGACCTGCAGTTATCCCCTAGAGAGCTCCAGTGCCAGTCCCACAGCTGAGCAGAGCCACTAGCTTAGGTGTGAGGCTTCCCCTTCTCTCTTGAGGGCTTCTGGAGCCCTCAAGCTCACAGCCTCTTGGTATAGGGCTAAGGACTCTAGGGAAGGGCTGCAGTGGCCCCATTCAGGACTAGCAGTGAACACCAGAATGGTGCCCGGTATTATAGCCACACATGGCTGTCCCTTACGTGTACTCCATGTCCTGACACCTCCTGTTGGCCTGTACCACCTCCTCCTCCTCCTGCCAGATGTGGGCCTCCAGTGAGCTCTCGCCATAGCTGCCATTCCTCGAGTGGTTGATGATTGTGGTGTCCCTGGAAACACAAGATGCACACTGACTCACAGGAAGCCTTCTTGCTTGGTTTCAATGCATGCACTCAAATGGAGAGGCGGGTGATCATACTGGCACAGAAATCCATTCTCTACCTTCTACTGAGGTCTAAAGGCCTTCCCTCTCCACTCCCCCAGCTCAGTTATCACCCTCAGCAGAAGCCAACACACAGACGGTGCAAATATGTTCAGAAAGAGGTGACCAAAGGCACCGTGCTAAAGCTCCCCCACCACCTTCTCTCTCCCAAATCCTGGCTACTTTCTCCCCCTAAACTTGATAGACCTAAGACAATGTCTAAGGACAGCAAAAATAAAAAAATCCCTTGCCCCTTCTACTAACAACATTGTGCTCTGAGCTCCATGGCTACGAGTATGTGGATGGGCGCTATGGATGGTCTGCTGGCACTGGGAACTATGCTATCCTCACCCTTGCCGGTGATTCTGTGCTGTGCTTTTTATCCTGGTCCTGTCTCTCTCTTCTAGTAAGAGGTAAGTTCTGCCTCTATGTATCGCCCATGTACAGCTCTTTCGGTTTGTAAAGTGAGGTGGGGTTCCGTAACTGCTTGATACTGGAATTGGTCCTCTCAGACAGCGAGCCCTAGCTGTGAGTCTTTCCTCGTGTATTCTGCCTCCCTGATTTATCGCTCCTGCCTAGGAGTCGGAGTCAGGCCAGTTCAGAGTGGCAAGCAGGCTGGGTACCAGGGCAGAAAGAAGACAGACACTTTGTCCTGTCAGTTCAGTTGAAGTCGGCGGTGGGAGCGTCAAGGCAAGCGTAGGTAGATGACAAAGCAGTCTACTTTTCAGTCTTTCAAAGGTGTCTGAAAAGAGGTAGTCAAAGGTAATTATTCCTGCCATCATTGTGTATGCAAATTTAACTACTTCTAATTAACAGTGATGAGCAGAAGTGTAGCTGAGTCATCTGTGTGATGTATCTTAAGATGAAATAATGCCTCTGGTTATGGGAATACAAAGCTCATAGGAAGTGAGCTAGCCAAATATTTCACATCTCTTCACCTTCACATTCCAAAGAAGAGCAGAAAAAGACACTTCTTTTACTCTTTTTAATGACAGCTATCCATTTATTTCATGCAGGGTCTCTCATTCTTACAATGTAGGCAGCAGCTATTACTGTCCTGGGTTTACAGATGAGAGTCGGTGGTTTGTCCAAGAATACCCAGTTAGTGAATAATGGAAATGGGTTCAAACCCAGGATTAGTGACTTCAAAGCCTTTAACCATCCTGTACATTCCTTATTTGTCTTTAAGAAGGTCTCTGTGAAGATACATGAAATAAACAAACAGGAGGGCATGTGAAAATGGGCTCACAAAAGTGCAAACTATGGCTGAAACTATATCATAAAAGCAAACAATGTAGAAAGCAAATGAAATGCTTTAAACATCAAGTTATAAATTCACCCTATGGCACACTACATGGGAATTAGTGGCTATAAACATGTTCTGCCAATATGTTTATTGGAAGAATCCAGAGTGGAAATAAATTTAAAAATTCATATTTATACTCCCAAGAAGGACAGCAGGCACATCCATGCTCATTGCAGCATTATTCACAACAGCTAAGCTATGGAAACAGCAAAGATGCCCCATTGATGATGAATTCTTGCGACCAAGCTCTGTCCTACTGACCTAACTGGGAGCAACTGGAGATGCAGAAAGGACAAAAGATAGAAGACCAACATGCACAAAGCTGGGTCAGGTGTGCTGGTGCTAGGATGGAGACATACAACAGCCTCATTACTTCTTTACTTCTCTCTTCTTTTACTTTGTTTCTTTTCTCTATTCTTTAAAACCTTTCTTCTTTTCTATTCTTTAAAGTCTCAGTCCTCAGACTCGCACTGTCCCATCTTTCCTCTAATCCTAAAGCCTCAGTCCTTAGACTTGCAGACACACAACAGCAGCCTCTAGCAGCAGCAGCAGCCACAACAGCAGCAGTCAACCTCGCAAGCAGCCAACCCACCAACCTCCTCCTTCAGCGCATCTTTTATATCTAATGGCAAACAAGGAGGTGGAGCCACAGTTTTCCGGAAGGGGCGTGACATTGTAACAGGAGAAACCTGCCATCGCTACTCTCTGGACATAAACATCTTAGGCAAAGCAGCTGTGCTGTATTTTGCCCTTACCCTCCTCTGCAGCTGGGGCCGTGCCAACTCAGCCTGCAAATTATTGAGCACAACTGTGCTTATGTTAAGTTCTCATAGGCTTCTCATACTCCACTCCCCTCAATGAATGGATGGATTAAGAAAACATGGTATTTATATACAAAGGAATTTTATTCAGCCATAAAGAAGAATTAAATTTTGTCCTTTGCAGGTAAATTGATGGAACCAAGAACATCCTCTTAAGTGAAGTTAGTAGGGTCCAGAAAGCCAAAGGATGCATATTTTCTCTCATATGTGGAATATACACCCAATACAAATCCAGCAATTTAATGAAAAACAGGACATGCTAGGTCACATTGAGAGAGGGAGGGTAAAAGGAGGAAGTTAGGAAGGTGAATATGGTTAATGTACTTTCTATACAAGAATGAATATAGAATTTTTAAACTCATTGAAACCACCATAAGAACGAGACTAATGTAGAAAGAAAAAAAACAGAGACGAACCAATTCAGGTTATAAGACATATATACATGGAAATGTCACAAGGAAACTCTTTATAGCTATCTTATTTGAATGAAAATGTCCTTTTTCAAAAACAGAGAACAGGAAGGTAAAACAGGTCCTGTCTGGGGGTTGGCACCAGTGGGAGAGGGGAGGATATAAGGAAAGGTGTAGGAGGTGAATATGGTGGAATATTATGCACTCATGTATGAAAATGGAAAAATGAGACCTGTTGAAACTACTTCAAGAATGGGGGGAAGGGATAAAGAAGAATGATGGAGGGGGCGAATTCAACTATGATAAATTGTTAGAACTTTGGTAAATGCCACATTGTACCCCAGCACAACAATAACAATAAAAAACAAAAAAAGTTTTAAAAATTCATGTTTATACTGCCAAGTAAGGACAGTAGGCACAATCCAATGAAAACAACTTAAGTCAATAAACACACAAAACTCTAAAAAAAAGTACACTGCGTTCACATTTTAGAAAGTTTGAAAACCTTTCCCATCATAAAAAATAAACTCAATATGTAAAAATTCTGATCAATGTGTCAAGATGCATAAAGACAAAACCACATGCTTTGTTTTAAAATTATCACATATAAATATGAAGTGTGCACCAGTGCTGGAAAACCACAGGACTAATGGCTGAAAATAGACATTTTTATCAGTTATCCACAGCCACTTTGCATTTGGATGGGAACTCAGAATTTCAACCTTTCTTAAAATGCTTCATTTTGCTGGGCAAAATGCTGGCAGAGGTAGGAGAATTGAGACTTCAAGGAAAGCCTGGCCTACATAAGGAATTCCAGGGCAGCCTGGCTGCATACCAAGACAAAGGAAGGAAGGAAGGAAGGAAGGAAGGAAGGAAGGAAGGAAAGAAGGAAGGAAGGAAGTGAGGGAGGGAGGGAGGTAAAGAGAGAGAAAAGAAAAATGCTTCATTCCTTTCACCCTTACATCATTAGAAAAGCAATACTGAAATTCAAGAGGAGGTTTTCGTTCTTTGGAAAAAACATTAGATTGGAGCTAAATATCTGAACATTCCTCACCCTCTCTCTGACTGTGGAAAGGGGCAGGCTATTGGGGGGAGCACCCACAGCTTATCAGATGTTTAATAAATACATGTGGAATCAAAGAAGAGAGCAGAGGGAGACATAGTGAAAAAAGACTCCATCCACCCAGGACTGCAGACATGCAGAGAAGAGAACAGCAGGGCCAGGGAAAATCCATGGAACTTCCATCTTCTGGGAAAAGACATTTCCTCTTGAGTGAGGATGGTGAAGGAGGCTGGGCCTGGAATCTATGAGTAGGTGATTGGTTTGGGGTCTACATGGTTCTACTAACCTCCTACCCTCCCTGTGGCCACCACAGGTCTATGCTCAGACTGTTCAGCCATGACTGTACATTCCAGTCCCTTTCATTCCCTTGGGCCCAGGATCCCAAACAGAATTCCATCAACAGATGAATGTATAAAGAAAGTGTGCTATATACACACCATGGAGTGTTGCTGTGCTATTGTAGGGAAATGGATGGAACTGGAGATTATCACGCTAAGCAAAAAGTCAGACTCAGAAAGTCAGATAACAAATGTTTTCTCTCGTATGTGAAATCTAGATCTAAAAAAAAGGGACAAGAACATAAAAGGGGGACTATTTGGAGGTGGGGGAAAACCAGTGGGTGAGAGTGGGAAAAGAGAGTGTGGAGGAAGAATATGACCAAAGTACACTGTATAATGAAATGAAAAGTTCATAATGAGTTGGTTACCAGTGGCTCATGCCTGTAATTCTAACTACTTGGGAGGCTGAGATCAAGAGGATCATGGTTCGAGGCCAGTCCAGGCAAAAACTTTGTGAGACTCTGTATCAACCAATAGCTGGGCACAGTGGTATGATGCTATCACTCCAAGCTATAGTGTGAGGCTGATTTCCATCACAACGGAAAAAAAGCTGGATTTGGTGATGTGTGCCTGTCATCCTAGCTACTGCGAGAACCCTATAATAGGAAGATTGCAGTCCAGCCCACCTGCACAAAAAGTGAGACCCCCCCATCTCAAAAACAACCAGAGCAAAAAAGGGCTGGAGGTGTGGCTCAAGTGATAGAACATCTGCCTAGCAAGTACAAAGCCCTGAGTTCAAACCCCAGTACCTCGCACACACAAAATCATAATGAAACCCATTTAAATTTTTAAAGAGAGTTAAAAATACAATGCAGGGGGTTGGGGGAAAGGGGATAAATAATAGAGGGGGTGAATATGATGAAAGTACACTATATATATAATATATATGGAAATATCATAATGAAACATCTCACTTTGTACAACTAATGTACACTAATCAAATAATTTAAAATAATTTTTACACTAATAATGATTTTAAAAATACCTAATCTGATCATTCCAGAGAGGCTGAAACAGCAAGGACACACAAAGGGCCCCATTCACATTGCCATGAGGGCTGTGTGTCCTCAGCCAGAGACTGTGGTGTTTCCCTGCTCTTAACCAGCCTGGAGGGACTTGTCCTGGACCACAGGCAGTGATGGAAGGGGCCGCCTTGCACGCAAGTGCCTGGCACAGTGTGACTTCTACGAGAGGGAACACCCAGGGCCACCATGACAGATGTATGGCCTAAATCTCACCAACAAGGCCGAATCCCTCTGCAGCTTCTGCTCTACTCCTTTTTCTTTTTCTGTGTATCTCTCAGCCTTCACTTATAAAATGAGAGTAAAAACAGTTCCTACTCTCAGGGCTGCCCCCGAGTTTAAAAAGACTCATAAAATGTACTTTTGTAACACCATTCTTGTGTGGATTTAAATTACTAAATTAATCTTCTCCTCTTGGACTCTAGGCTGTTTTGAGTGTGTTGATATTTTCAACAGCACCCTTGGGCATACCTCTTTAGGCACTCATGATGATTTCCTTAAGGTAAACGTCTAAAGCAGAATTTTGTAACCAAAGAGAAGGTGCATATTGCCAGTTATCCCCGGGAATTGCTATCCAACTAGCACCACAGCCTTTAGCAAACTACCCTTGGATGGCCTCTCTCCCTGGGCTGTCTCTGAACCTCCTTGGACTGAGCCCTGCTCGATTTAACCTTGTTTCCAGTGCTTTTGTCTTACCTCTCGGCCACCGCTGAGGCTGCAGCACTCATGGCAAAGTGACGGATGGTGCTTTCCTCCAGGTACTTCTGCTCCCACTTGGTCGCGTCCGCCTCCAGCGCCAGGATCCGCTCCTCCTTCTCCCGCACCAGTTCCATGAGGGCTGGGGCGCTGCGCTCGGGGATGTTGGCAGGCTGGCCATTTCCGTGTCTCTGGAAAAGCAGCAATAACATCTTGATGCTCGAAATGACCACACCGGGGACACTGTGGCTCTGCACAGCTCACTGCACAGAGCACGCACGGTCGGGCCTGAGCTCTGTCTCTGCAATGGGTCTGGTCTGCAGTGAGTGACCCCAGCACCTCACCACCTCCACTTTCCTCCTGCCCACTTGATACTCACACAGCTCTGTAAACAGACAAGACCCCAGTTTTACAGGGAGAAGCTAAATGAGCCATCCCGAGATGCCAAATGAGCCATTCCACACCTCTCTGCCAAACCAGGGTAGAGTCAGGATTCAAACCCTGGCCTGGCTCCACAGCATAAGGTCTTAGCAGGAGGAGAAGTGGCTTGCCCAAGGCCACACAGTTAATTTACAACAAGGCAAGAGTGGGAATTACATCTCAGCTTCCTAGTTGAGAGCACATCGTCCAGTATTCAAGGAATGGATTGTAGTTTTGTAGATTGCAGATTTGTTTCAATGGGACTGGGGAATAAAATGGAAAGGCCCAGGAAGTGGGGGTGAGAGGCCCTAATACGCACGCTCAAGCTCTCATCTGTGGTGGAGGAATTGGAACCTGTCCCATTAATTAGAAGAGAGAATGAGAAACAGATGAGGTAATGCATCTGAAAGGGGATGGCTAATCATGGCGAGCTCCTTTCTCAGCACTTCTTTTTCTTCCCTGTCATCTGGACTGTGCACAGCCGAAGGCATTCACAATTCAGACCTTGTCCTTCCAACTCAGACACACTGTTCCCTCTAAAAGGCAAGACATGGCAGGGATGGGGGTGTCAAGGAGGTTCTGATTTGAGGGCAGCAGCAGAGACAGCTTATCGCTGGGACTCAGGGGCAGGGGCCCAGTCTGGATGTGGGCCAGGCTCCTTTACACCTGAGAGGTGATTTCATCCTGGCTATCTGGCACATGCTTCCCTCATGTCATTCAGGGGTCACAAATTTTAATGCAGAGCTTATTGCAAGGTGAGAGCCATTGGAATGCTTTACTCAGAGTCAACAATATCCTGGATTAAGAAAAGAACCAGAGAATCACTCAGACAACAGCTGGGCAACTGAGCTGCATGGATGGAGTCCAACCTACCCAGGAAGCTGACAAGCTTTTTGCAACCAATGCTTCTATTCAGTTTTTTTAAAGCTCCAAATGTATGTTAATATAGGAAGTGGCAGCCTGCCAGAGACCAAGACAAGTAAAAATACAGCAGAAGGAATGTACCAGTCCTCATTTGACCGTACAGAAGTCATTAACCCATCTGGACAGGGACAGATGAACCAGGCCACCTAAATGAGAAGCTCCTATTTTTAGAAACTCTCCAAGAAAGAGCTCCTGCAGTTTCAGTAAGCTGCTGGCTGTGCTTGTCATTTTCTGTCTAAATCTCTTCTGTTACCATTTCAGCAGCTTATTTTTGCAGAATCCTCTTTTCTTTTTGAGGTACTGGGGTTTGATCACAGAGCCTTGCACTTGCTGGGCAGCCCCAACACTTGAGCCACACCTGCAGCCCTGCAGAATCCTCTTGACCCCCACGAGATCATAACAACTCTTCACAGGCCCCTAATTCAGGCAACCGAGACTAAGTTATTTAATAACTGTGAATTTCGAAGTCCCAGTGTGCAGATACAGTGTGGAGAAAATCCAACTTGGGGGCAAGCAAGACAGCATCCAGACTGCAGGTACTGACGACCCATGAACATGTGCTGGATACACTGTGGGAAACACAACGTAAAGTCTTTGTCCTTGAAATGCTCACATCAAGGAAATCCTAAAGAGCTGCGTGACTGTGGCCTGGCCCCGTAACTCCCACCACCTCATTTTCCTCTTCTAGGACTTCCCCACCTTCTCTGTTTTCCTCACAGGACTACTGTGAACACCAGAAATGAAAACTTCTTTGAGCTCTTTGTAAACAAAGAAAAGTAAAATTTTGAGTCCTTAAAAATGTAAATCCCCTCCTTTTTATTTGCTTCCTCATTTGTTTCCTTCCCAGTTCCCAATGATGCTGAAGTGCTACATCCCCTTCCATGGTGGAGATGACAAAATGATCAGGTCTGTGTCTAAGCATCTCTCCTGCTAGTCCTGTTCACCTGCCCTATCCTTTCTTTCTTACCCTCTGCAATCAGCCACACTTCTGTCACTCTTTGTGCACTGGAAAAGTGGGGTAAGTGAAGAGTTTGGGAGAGGAATGCTCACGACAGTAGAAATGGGAGTAAGAACAGCAGTCATTTCTTCACCAATTGTGACATGTCAGGGACTATGAAAAGCACTGTGTGCAGATTCTCCTAGCTGCAGTGACAAGTATGAGAAGAATAATTTATTCTCCTCATGTTGCTTATAGCTGAGGAATTGCAGGTTTCTTACCCACAGCTACTCCCGGGTAGGGGAGCATTTCACCCTCATGGGCCTCACCCGGGAGCCCATGCTGCGAATCAGCATTCTTGTCTCCTGTCCCCGCACCTTCCTGACACCTTGCGGAGTACTGACCTCACTCTGTGTCATATGGCCAAGGGGAGACTCCCGTGTCCAGGGATCAGTGTCAGGGCAGAACCCTGTGTGTGATGCCAATCCAAAAGTACTCTAAGCTACATTCTCGGGTCTCTTCAGAATCATGCTTTTGGGAAGCAGTAAGACTGGATGGCTGGTCACTGCTCTGCTGAGGACAGAGATGACCCTGGGCTTTGCTACAGTGGGACCACAGCATGGTTTCTAAAGATACATGCCTGCGTGCCACAGGAGTGAAGGAGCAGGGTGTGCTGTGGGCTGAGAGCTCTTCCCACATGCATCTGTGCCAAGAAGAGGCAGGCACATGCATGGCTGCACAAGGATGAATGGGGACAGGGAAAGACCCAGTTTCTCAGGTGACCCTGCGTTCCAGAGTGGACTCTGAGTCCTCCCTGGGGGAAGCTGGTGGAGCTGGTCCCACAATAGTCCACAGGCTCCAGACTGGAGTGTGGTCAGATGCTGCTCTTCACTGTATCTGCTCCACGGCCCTGGGAAAACTCAGGACTTCATTGTTATGCTTTGGTTTTTGAGACAGGGTCTCACCAAGCAACTCAGACTAGTCTTGAACTCGCCTCAGTCTTCCAATGCTGGGAATCACCACATCTAGCTGAAAAACAAGATGCTTTTTTTGGTGAACTTTTTTCTTTGTGATAACATTTTTATCTTTTCTCATTGTAGAATAATAATGTATGGTCTCACCATCAAAATTAGAAATAAAGAAGTATTAAAGCAAAACATAATAATATTTATCTTTTCAGTGAGTAGGCAAGGGTAACAGGACAATCTGAGTGTATTTATCATCACAGAGTACAAATTATACTCTCATTAAAAAAAACTAATATTATTTGTAAAGAGATGGTGAACATCCAAGTTCTGTTCAGCTCTGGTCTCAGGTCAGCCATGCCCTGTTATGGCTCTGCTCTCAGTTCCTGAAGAAAACCTCAAAGTGCAAGTAGGACAGTCTCCCCGGGAGACTCATCCCTGACACTGGTGCTCTCCAGTGTGAGCCTCTGTCATGGCCTGTAAACACAAGGGCACTGCTCTTGCTGGTGTGAGGCACAATGAGGTAAGCGTGCATGGGGCTGGGTAAGCAGGCTGTGAGCTGCCTATCTCTGTGGCAATCACGGTATTCTTCAAATTCAGATCCTTTCTTCTTGACATACAAGGGTCAAAAACAACAGAGTTGAGTCTGGTTTAAGAGACAATTATAAGTACTCTTATGGCAGGGTGTGGATAGCACATTAACAGGAAAAGAACATTCTTTTTGGCTGTAAAAATGGAGATGTGCCCATTTACCAGAGAAGCCCTGCCCTCACATTGGGGGCACTAAGACCTCAATATCTGAGTAGCAGAGAACAGATGGCAGCCTCACTTGAGGCCAGTGGATGTGGCACAGGTTATAAGGATCAGAAGACCAGAGAAAGACACACCCTTCCTCTCACCAGCCAGCAACAGAGCCAAGGTGGTGGGAGGTCAGGATAAGTTTAATTTTCTGGGCAACCTTGGTAACACACACCTTCTTCTTTAGCCAAATGCGCACACCCCCAGGAACTGAATAGGCCTGCCATGCAGGAGGGCTGAGCTTGCCTGAGTGAACACTTGTAAGTGTTTTCGAGTGTTCAGTGACAACCACTACAGCCTATCCAGGAAATAATTCCATGGAGCCTGCCTGGCATTTCCCTGGTACCCAATTTAGAGCACACCCTTCATCAGCCGCAGTCAGGGCTTTGCCACCATTCTGGTGGGTGATGGACAAGTCAAGAGCCTTTGAGAAGTCTGCAATGGCCTTCCAGGCAGGAATTCTCTCTTTGTTGAGGCACACGGGGAATGTTCTGGTCTGTGTTTAATCATCACTGGGTCCCGTTATCAGCTCTTACTAGCAGAGGAGAGGCAGTGTCACTTCCTAGTGTGGTCCTGGATTCCTTTATTTACACAAGTAAACTCAGTGATCATTCCCTTATTCACTCTTTCCTTCAGTTCTTCCATGGACCACCACTGTCACTACACCCTAGACCCACTAACAACCTTCACAATGGCCTCCCTGACCCCACCACCTGCCCTCCAGACCTTAGAGGCTCTTGCCCGATCCTCTGTTCCTCTCCAACTTAAAAACCTCTGAGGTTTGCTCTGTCCCCAGTCTGGAAATACTTTCTTGGGAAGATTGGCTGTGCCAGTGGATGAGCCACCAAGAGGAAGCTTCTATTTTGATGACTGCCATGGAATGTCATCTTGGAAGCTGATTTTGCAAAGAAGGAGTACAAGCCTCCAAAAGCCTGGAAAATGGGCACTACTGTTGTGGCATGGCCTGTCTAAGGATGGCACAGTTCTTGGAGCAGATACAAGAGCAACTGAAGGCATGGTTGTTGCTGACAAGAATTGTTCAAAATTCACTTTGTATCTCCTGACATGTATTACTGTGGTTCTGGGACAGCTGCAGACACAGTCATGACAACCCAGCTCATTCCTTCCAACATGAGCTCTACTGGATGGCTTCCCAGAGTCCTGACGGCCTATCTGATGCTGAGGCACATCCCAGGCATCGATGTTACTGGGGCAGGCCTAGTTTAGGAACAGAAGGTTACTGGACCTCATTTCCACAGCATCTATCCTCACAGACCAACTAATAAGTTGCCTTCTGTCACCATGGGCTCTGGCTTCCTGGCAGCAATACTGTGTTTGAAGATATGTTCAGGCCAGGTACAGAGAAGGACAAAACCAAAAAGCTGGTGAGTGAGGCCATTGAGCTGGCATCTCCAATGACCAGGGGTCTGGAAGCAACTTTGACCTGTGTGTCCTCAGCAAGAGCAAGCTGGGCGTTCTTCACTCGTACTCAGTGCCCAGCAAGAAGAGGACTAGATCTGGCTGGTTGTGAGAAAGGCACAGCCTGGAGACTGAGGTGCTGGAGGAAGATGTCCAGACAGTGGATACTCTTGAGTTGTGTTGGGGGTAGGTGGTTATTACTCTGGAAGACTGGGGCCATAGGAGCCTCTCACACCCGTCCCCCATAAGACATTCACTTCGCTACTGTTTCCTGGATAAAACTCAGTTTTTAAAAAGTGAAACACACACACACACAAAGCCCTCTGAGGTACTGGTTCTCTGTTGACCACAGGACAAAGCTCATTCTCTCCACTTGAGCAAATGCTTTCCACAAACACGCCACTGCCTCTCTCCAGCACCCCACGGGGCACTCCTCAAGTAGCTGCACCCAGCTGCCCCGGACTTGTTGGCATTACACACCCTCTCCTTTACCTTTGCCTTAACTATAGTTTGCCCCTGAATGCCCAACAAGTCCACCATTCAAAGTCCAGCTCACATGCCCCTCTGCGAAGCCAACTGAGTGCATTCCCCTCTCCCCAGCCTCAAGTCACCCTCTCTCTTTCTCTCTGAGGACAGCCTCTCCACAGGGAGGGCACCACCAGATCCCCACTGGTGGCTCTATGGGTGTCTGAGGACAGGGACTCCTCACTGCCTGAAAACTCATTGCAGAGCACCATGGCTGGCCCTTAAGGGGCTGCCCATGCATTTACAGAATGAATGTGTCTGGTTCTGCCGCCCTTCCTGGCCCCTCACCTGCTGGGTCCTCAGTGCATCCAGCTCCCTCTCCAGCCAGGTCCGCAGTCTGCGCTCCATCTGCTCTCGCTTCTCACATGCGGACTGCAGCTGGGTCAGGGCCTGCTGCAGCTTCTCAACTTTCTCCACATATGCTTGCTTCTCCCGTAGCTGAGCAGACAAGAGAAAAAGAGCGCAGAATTGTGACCAGGGTTCTCACTGCTGGGGTGGAGGTGGGGCTCAGACTACCTGGAGATTCTGTTTAGACTGCAGGTGCACCCACCACCCTCCTCCCTTCCCTCAGATGTACTGAAACAGAAAAGGTTTATATAAAGACCATCAGTTATACCTAAAGTGGCCAGGAAATATGCATGAAACCCTCCCAGGGCACCTGCTTTTGGTAATTTGTACAGCTTTGAGCTCAGTGCTTGATTTGTAGGCATAAGAAATGAGTCTAATGAAGAGTTTTTTTTTTTTTTTTTGTGGAACTGGGGTTTGAACTCAGGACTTCGTGCTTCCAAAGCAGGTGCTCTACTGCTTGAGCCACACCTCCAGTCCATTTTGCTCTGGTTAATTTGGAGATGGTGATCTTGAGAACTATTTGCTTAAGCTGGGTTTGAACTGTGATCCTCCCAATCTCAGCCTCCCAAGTGGCTAGGGTTACAGACATGGGCCACAGAATCTGGAAAATACAGAGTTTCATATCATGATACAACTATACCTGCCTATGTATGGATCTATGAAAAAAGACTGTGAGGAGAGAGCGGAAACATTTACCATGTTTGTCTATATGGCAGAAGAGTAATTTCTGTACAAAGAGTACATGTTCAAATTTTCTATAATAAATATAAATTACTTTTTATAATAGAGAACTCACATATGTAAGTGTGCTGGTGTACCTACTTGTGTGTCTGTGAATAAACAGAAAACTGTCCTTATTACAGATCCTTATGGAGTAACTTTCTCCTGGAGATTCCAGAGTGCTTTATAGCTGAGTAGTGATCTCTGCTGAAGAGACAGGAAGAGCACGATGATCACCCAGCACGGTGACTGAGGACATGGAAATTCAGGTTAAAAGGACTTAATGAAAAGTCACATCAAGACCAACAACTTTAAACTCTTATCCTCAGACGTGGTTTTCTCTTCAGTTTGGAGTCAGGCCCATGTTCACAAATCCAGGCACCTTTCTAGCTTTCTGGGAACTGATTGGTACCAAAACTCAGGCATTTACTCCATCTGGTCCTCGGAAATAGCAGTCACTGAGGCTATTTCCTGTCATTGTGCACCTGGGTGAGCAGATGCCTTGGAGGTGACTCATGATCACACTGGCAAGTCAGCACGTGCTGGTGATCTAGCAGTGTGCTGCCCAGGTTTGTGACGGGCAGGCACAACCCTGAGTTAAACTGCACCCTGTTTCATCTGAAGTCAGTGGAATAGAATGGAAGGCACAGCAACTGGACAGATTTGGGATCATTTCATATCTGAACCTTTTATTCATTGTGCTTTTGCTTGTTCAATTCAGTTTAATAAGCCTGCCTGTCAGGATCCTGTGCCTTTTAGAAGCTCCATCAGATCAGATGTTGGGTGATGTTGAGTGCAGACACATCACTCACCATTCCTTACACGGTATTCAGTTTTCTGAGTGTGCAGCCACCAGGAGATTGGCCTTTTGTAGTCCTTGCTGGGCAGAATGAACAGTGTGTTCACATGCATGGAACAATGTCTGGTTCCAGTAGGTACCCAATATGTGTTAGTTAAATGAATGAATATTGTCCCTAAGCAACTGCAAGGTTCTTGAAAGCATGGGTCTGTCTCCTTCACCTCTGTATCAACCTTAGGTCTACCAAGGCATTTATCACGATGAGGATGGCTTATAACAGTCATTCTATCAGCCAACATTGTCAGAGCATTAGGTTTCACGTGTAGTTTCTCATTTAATCCCACCAGTGACAAAAGAGGAAAAGTTCCTTCTTATCCTATTTAATTGATGAGAAAAGTAGCCAGATGCTGTGGTGCATGCCTATAATCCTAGCTACTTGGGAAGCAGAGATTGGAATGTTTGCAGTTCTAGGCCAGCCTGGGCACAAAGTTCACAAGACCCCATTTCACCAATGGCTGGGCATGGTAGTGTGTGCCTGTCATCTCAGCTTCTCAGGAAAGAATAAATAGTTAAGTCACAGCAATTCTGGCCCTGACATACGGCGAGACCCTATCTCAAAAAATTTTAAAAAGAGGCTGGTGCAGTGGCTCAAGTGGTAGAGTGCCTTGCTAGCAAACACAAGGACCTGAGTTCAAACCCCAGTTACAGCAATAAATATATTAGCAAAGATGAGAAAAGTGAGGAAGAAAAGGCTAGGTGACTTGCTGAAGGTCACACGGCTGGTACTTCATGGAGCCTCTACACCCCACTTTCAGCAACATGGCTCTAGAGTCCACTCCTAACCACCACGATAAGCTGAGTAAATGCTCAGTGTAAGTCATCTGGACTGAATTAAGACTCTTCAAGAGCATGATTAATTAGAACAAGGAGTGAGACTGGAAGCCAGACACATGAGACGTTTTGGAAGAGCTCCATTCATCCAAACAAAGATGTTACATAAAAACGACAATAAGGAAAGACTGTAGGGGTGGTTAGAAAGAGCCCTTCTTTAAGGAGCTCATAACTTTTACTTTTATAGGAACATTACAACTAAGAGACTTTATAAATTATAATTTTCCATGGAGAAGGAGCCTCAGGACTTGACTTCAGTGATGACAATAACATGCAGTCCAGACCTCCATTCCTCAGAGTGGACCTCTTGTCCTCAAGGGGCTAAGGTCTGTCTGAGGCAAAAAGAAGATGCTCTCGACTGCTGTCTGGGATCTTCCTGCTGGTGTCAAAATCACAGTTTCCACATGGGATTTGCAGGGTTCAAAAGGCCGCAAAGGGGCAAGGCCCTCATTTATGTAAAATCCTTCCTCTCGTGCTGTGTCGCCCTGCAGTTAAAGCTCAGGTATTCGCTGGAGGAACAACCTTTGTTCTATAATGACAGTCGGGTTGACGGCATTGCTGTTTTCTGTGTGCCAGGCATCAAGCGAAGTACTGATGTAGACTACCTCACTCACGCCTCTTTCAGGCTTGGAACGCTGCCTTTCTACAGTGGATTGGCCTGGATTACACGGAGGTGCCAACCACCCTCACAGGGAGCTGAAGGTGTGGCCCAGGCCTCTGTCTGCCTGGCTCCGCCTCTCCTCCTCCACAGCACAGACCCCCAGACTGGCCTCAGAAATGGTCATTCTTCAGCCAGGCTTAAAGGGAAAGTGAGTCTACCCCCCAACAGTTAGACCAAAGGGTTGATTTCATTAGAAAGGACTAAATCCATAATGCTGGAGTAGGATCATGAGCTCCTGCACTGGAGCACTGCACAGCCAAGGCAACTTCTGGAAACGGGTTTGGATCTGCTAACCTCTATGCTAGGCCCACCCCACGATCAGACTTCCCATGTGCCTGGGAGCTGAAGACACAGCAACTGAACTACTTTTGAAAGACCGTTGGTCTCTTTTACATAGGAAACCAAGTCTGTCCCTTGGTTTCCTACCGATGGCTGAGGACTGGGTGCTCTTTGCTGATGGGACCCACGTGCGCCTTTCATGCTCTGCTGGCTCTGGGTTTATAAAGTCTGACTTTGTGCATTTTTACCTGGGAGTCCCCACAGCCCTCCCCTGTGTCAGCTCCTTGGAGTTGGCTGTGGTTTAAGTAGCTGGGTTAGGAAAGGAACTGCAGAACACCGGGCTCGGCCTCCCTCCCTGCTGGCCCCAAGTCCCTGGCCTTGTCTCACCTCCTCTTCCAGTTTGATGACTCTGGCCTGGGCGTTGCTCAAAGCCTGGTCCAGGATCTCAATGTGTCTCCGATGGTCTTCACTCGCAGTCCGCACCGCTGCTAACTCTATTTCTAACTTCTCCTTTTCCTTCAAGAATTCTTTGTCTAGAAGGGAGACAAGAACAGAGCTACCTCTATCAGAAGGCACTCACACTCTGGACTCACTGCCAGTCTACATCTGGCAAGAATTAAAAACAGAAAAGCATGCAAATATTATAGGATTGAATTGCTGCCTTGCTCCTTCTGAATACAGCAGTGTTTAAGGTGAGGACTTCCTGAAACACCACCATTTACTCTCGAACTGTGAATTCCAAAGATAAAGGACACACAAGAGGGGCTGGGGGTCACTCCGTGGTACAGCCCTTGGCTAGCAAGGTATGAGGCCCTGGACTCAAACTCCAGGATGGCAAGAAAAAGCCAAAAAAAAAGAGTGCTCATGAGCGAGCAACCTCAGATACTCTGTAACTTACTTCTCCACAACACTGACTTTAATTCTTCAGATTAATCTTGTACCTGCTATCTCATTTTTCACTCCCATGTTTCCGTCTTCTGAGCTTGAGTGGAAGGGCAGCACCAGCAGTAATACTACTGATATTCTCACTCGTAGGGATATATGCCAAGGACCAGGGAGATGAGCTCTCTGTCTGAGGCCAGTGGTGGAGGGAGCTCCCATCTCCAGCTGGACCCTCTTCTCCTATGACCTGGCCCCATATTTTCTCCTGGTCTTGCTTGGGGGTGGGGGAGTTAGGAAACTGCTTTTCTCTCATTTAATCACAATGTCACTGATGGTGACCATGGTCTCTGCATGTGAGAGTCAGGCTGGCCACTCTCTCCCTCTTCCTGACTGGACTAAGTGCGGTTCCAGACCAAGCAGGCCAGGCCCACAGTGTCAGGAATCAGATTTCTTGTGGAAAACATCTTTCCTGTTACAAAAGCCATATGCTTTCATTTTTAAAATAGGTTATTCACAGATGTTTTTTGTTGTTTTGTTTTTGTTTAGTTGAGATAGGTTCTCACTATGTAGCTCAGGATGGCCTCAAATTCATGACTGTGCTGTCTGAGCCTCTGGAGTGCTGGGACTACAGGCATGCACCACCAGGTCCAGGTTAGGTATGCTGTTTATAATATGGAAAAACTTGAATGAACTTAATATATACTTAAGGGATTAGTTAAATAAATGCTGTAAGAACAGGATTCAGCCACTATAATTAAACAAGAGAATGTTAGTGACATGGAAAAGTCTTCATTGTTAATAAAAGGAGGTTAAAAACCATAGGCGCTCTATCTCACATGTATAAAAGAAGAGACATACAGTTACAGCAGCAGTAACCAGAGAACTCAGAAACTGACCTCTGGGTGCCTGCATCATTCCAAAGCTTCACTCTGGTTATCATAAGCCTCTTAGCAACCTACACTAAAGCACATACAGCCCATGTCAGCAGCAGACTGCCAGTGGAGGCATTCAGCTATTATTTCCTTCTGTACATACTCACTCGTTAATTAAACAAACAGCTGTCAGATGCAAAGGACCAAGCAACAGAAAGAATACTGAACTAAAGGAGCAGAAAATGGGCCGAGCAGGAAGTTCACACCTGTAATCCCAGAAGGATCACAGCTCGAAGCCAGCTCTGGCAAAAAGTGAGTAAGATCCCATCTCACCCACTGGCTAGGTGCAGTGATGTCTGCCTGTCATCCCAGCTACGTGCGGAAGCACAAACAAGGAGATCGTGGCCAGGCTGGCCCAGGCATAAAGTGAGACCTATCTCAAAATAACCAACATAAAAGGGGCTGAGGGTGTGGCACTGGTAGAATGACTGTCTAGCAAGTATGAGGCCCTGAATTCAAATGCCAGTACACCAAAAAAAAAAAAAAAAAGAGAGAGAAAACAGGAGAAAATGTGGTTTTGAATACAGGGCATGAAAATTAAAAGACACTACAAGACAACAAATCAGATAAACTCACAACTTACAGCCAGAAGGACTCACAAGAAATATCAGCATACAGTTCTACCCCTCATTGTGTGGACGGGGAAAGGAAAGCCCGAAAGCCCAGACGAGGGAAGGTACTTGTCCCGGGTCCCACCCCCAGTTGAGGCAGAACCAGGGCTAGTGTCTGGGTCACCTGAGGTCTCCCTAGGATGTCCTTGCTGACTGCATTCCCTTGCATTGCACGATTATGTCAGCAGGATCAGAGGGCAATGGAACAGCTGACAGACAGACGGAGGCACAGACTTGTACAGCAAAGTGGCGGCTGTGCTTCTCAGAAACAAAGGCAGCCAAGGTCACCAAGACCCTGACCCAGAACACTGCAGTACTGCTGGGCTCCTTGTGCCCCAGGAAGCAGCCAATGGCCCCCCTCCCTTCCCCTTTCAGTGGCGTTTGAAATACTGCCCAGGAAACTCCCATCCCATGAAAAACGAGTACCCAAGAGGCCCGAGTAGGCCAGGCATTGTAGCTCAAGCCTGTAATCCAGCTACCTAGGGGTGGAGACTGAGAGGATTGCAATTCGAGGTTGCTCTGGACAAAGTCACGAGGAGCACTGCCACCCCTCCAACCACTAAACCAGGTGCTGTGGCGTACACCTGTGGTCTCAGCTATGCAGGAGGTGTAGGTAGGAGAATTGTGGTCTGAGGCAACCCTAGACAAAACATGGGCTGGGGGTGTGGCTCAAGCAGTAAAGTGTCTGCGTAGCAAGCACAAAGCCTGAGTTCAAATCCTCCTCTCCCCCCAAAAACAGCAAAGAAAGAAAAAAGCCTGAACAAGTGAATCCACAGCTTCCTCCAGACTGTGTGGTCCTCTACAGCCTGAGCAGCATTTCACCTTTTCTGTTCAAACTCAGTGGGACCTGACCACTAGCTCTCTAGGGTTACACAGCATTTCTGTGGACACAATGCCCACCTGCCCTGCCCAGCTTTGGAGGAGCCCAGGAGTTCCTCCGTAGGTGCATCTGGGAATGACTTCCTGGGTTCTGAGCTTCAGCTGGTTATCAATCTCTATTTGTTGAGAGAGCTGGGTACACATCCATTTGACTGAAGCAACAAAATGACAGACTGAGCTCATGAACAGAAGCTGCGACGAAAGTTTATGCAAGTCAGTGATTGCAACTCTTGCTGTGACAGGTCTCTAGACAAGAGTTCTGAATTTATGAATGCCCTTCCCCTCTTAAATACACACACGGGATTCCACACTTGATCTTTCCCTGATAGGCAGTTTCACACAGTGGCTAAAGAACAAACACTAGCATCAGAAGAACCTGGACTCAACCTGCAAATCTACAAAAACCCAGGGATGGAATCTGCCTGGGAGCCAAGCAGCAGATGAGTGCACAAAGAAAATGTGGTCATATACACAATGGAGTGTTATCCAGCCATAAAGAAGAAAGAAGTTATGTCATTTTCAGGAAAATGGATGGAACTGGAGATGGTGTTCACTGATACAAGCCAGACTCAGAAGGACAAATATTGCATGCTTTCTCTTACATGAGCAATCTAAGTAACAAGAGAGACATGAAAATAGAAGGGGGACTATTTGGGAAGAGGAAGAAGATGGTGTGTGGAGGGCAGGAGAAAGTAATGGGGTGAAGATGGTTAAAGTTCATTATACACATGCATGAAGATGTCATAATGAAACCTAATGTTTTTTACAATTAACATATGCTAATAAAAATTAAAATAATAAAATAAAAAAGAAGGACTTAGATTCAAAGTCTAGGTCTACCACTCTCTTAGGACGAGACCTCAGGCAAGGTGTTTAACCTCTCTGAGCTTCACTCCCTCATCTACCAGATGGAAAAGTGTTGTGATGGAGAAAATGCACAGAAAGTATAAAGGACCTGAACTTGAGGACTTTACCTTGTTTGGTTGTTTTTAATTGTCTGGGTCTAGAAGAGTGCCTGGCTGAATAATATCACTGAATAAATGAATGAATTTCCATCGTGTGCCAAGTTCAACGCCAAATGAACAACAAATCATAGTACTTGTTAGCTATCAGGTACTTAGCATTCTTGTTGTCTCCTATCAGCCCTTGTTAAGCAGCCATCTGCTCTACCTTTGACCCCACTGGTCACTTAGGAGCCACTACTCATTAGGTGGCTGATAAGGACCATGGACACCCCTGGTCCTCTCTCCATCCAGGCTCCCTGAACCCCACAATGTACACTACAGGACAAAGGCTCCATTAGCTCTGTCATGATTTTCAGGCCTCTGAAACACATGGGTCAAAACAGCTCTGTCCTAAGTGTGGTGACTTCAGCCTTTGTGCTGCAGCCCTGTGATTAGTGTCTTTCACATGGTTCCGAGTTCCTTGCCCACGGACAGGAAGTCATGCTCTCAATTACGAAGTTTGAAAAACAATGATTCCATGACAATGGAGATGACAGTGTCTGCGTTATTTGGTGAATGAGAACTGTCGTCCAGGATGGGTACTTATATTATTTCCTTTAATTATGCCCTTGACATTAACTCCTTCATCCTAAGTTCACTGAATGAGGTAGCACCATTATTATTGCTGTTTTTCAGTTGAGGAAAGCAACACCGAGAATGCTGAAGTAACTTGCCCATAGAAGGCTGTTCCTCAGGAGAGAGGCAGAATTTGCATTCGTATCTCTCTCATGCATGTTCACAAATCTGCCTCTCCTATGCAACCTTGCATAGAGATGCAGTGCACAGAGGCAGAAGCAGAATCCCAGAAGAGCCGCAGCACGGCCATCACTGCAGACTTAGTAAGTCACGGTCATTTAATAATTCTCAAAACAAGCAATTACAACCATATGTATCCATTTACAAACATTAAACATTTGCTACATGGTGGTGACACAGGGAACTGGTTAAAAGCCTGGTTCTAGACTCCAGCCTCTAGATTCACATCCATTCTACCACTTAGGAGTTGGTGACTGTGGAAGTAAATGAGCCTTTTTGTGCCTCAGTTTCTTTGCCATTAGAGTAAAGATCACAATGGTACCTAGTTCAGTAAGTACCCAAGAAATGTCAACAATGGTATCACTGCAGTTACTACTGTTGTCCCAGGAAACGTGATGAATGCTGGGGCTGCAAGGTGAGAAAGTAGCATTCTGCTCTAAACTGGAGGTAGGAGAGGCTGGCCTTAGGC